AAAATAGTGGAAATAAATTGCATGGGCGATGGGCGCACCGAACTGGCCATGCGCCCCTAGCCTGGTGCTTTGACACGTGGCGAGGAAACAACACCTGTTTGGTTCGGTACATTTGCGACGGTATCCATTCACAGGGCAATCTGATTCCATTGAATTTGTTTGGTTTGCTCGGGGGTAATCAGGTGCAATGTAATCGGATCCGGGGGCCATGCAAATCGAAAGGTAATCGTTACCACTGCTCAGTGGGTGGTAGGCGCTCCAGACAGGATCCGGTGTCGAACCAAACAAAATCACTGATCAACTATTTCCTTCCCATTCCGGCGGGGGAAACATTCCATTTACATTGCTGTAGCGGTAAAGGCATAGAGTAAAGGCCTGTACAATGCGATAGACTCTTAGAAGAGAGAATTAGCACTAGAGTTTAACCTACAATATTAATGCAAACTGTTGTCTGATAGACGCTTAGCAACGGAAGAGGCCCATGCGTCAGTTTGCACAGGTGGTGTACCGCTCGGCCGAAGCGCCGCTGCTTGGTTAAGCGGTGACTCTAGCAAGCGCCCTCGTTCCCTTCCACCATGGAAAAACGGATCATTGACTACCCATAAGCGCCCTTCCCTATACGTGGCCTAAGGAGATCTGGTTTTTGCAGTTGATGGAGCAATCAGATTAGGGGCAGACTAATTTTTCTACATATTGAGCATGTTCGCTGGTTGGTTTCTGGGCTGATAAGCTCGGCTAGTGCTGGTTTGTTGTGAGAGGAAAACACTGTTGGCTGGCTGATAAGCTCTGGCTGAAACCAACAAACGAACAGGCTGATTGAAAAACAAAATAACACAATTACTAGCTATTTAATAAAAAACAAAATAACACAATACCCCCTCAGTCCCATAACATTTATTGTTTTAGCTCTTGGCACACGGATTAAGAAAAAATAAACACAATTACTAGCTATTTAATAAAAAACAAAATAACACAATACCCCCCCAGTCCCATAACATTTATTGTTTTAACTCTAGGCACACGGATTAAGAAAAAATAAACACAATTACTAGCTATTAATAAAAAACAAAATAACACAATACCCCCTTCATCCCATAACATTTATTGTTTTAACTCTAGGCACAGGGATTAAGAAAAATAGAGTATGGTGCAAAAAACGAGAAAAAAATTAAGATAGAGATGTATCAGAAAAAGGAGAAATTATTAGGAGTAAGAATAATAGTAAATAATTTAGGGCAACTGTAGAAGGGTAGAATGACTTCTGCACTGAAGAAGTTGATCGTCGCAACCTGTAGTCTCGTATGGACAAATTAAATAGCTTTGTCCTTGGATCAGGTGGTACAATTAATTAGTATTGGTGCAGCCGTTCCTTTTATGGAAAAAAAAAATTATGTGAGGACCATCCGCACAGAGACGTCGTGGGGATGTATGGTTGACGCGTGGCCTGATGAGGCATCCGAATTGCCGTACGTACGTTTAAAATGATACTATTGCCCATGGATCAGCTGCACGGTTCGCACGCCATCGTGGTAGGATGGTCTACACCAAATTGTTTTCCCCTTTCATTCGGTTTTGTTACGATGTCACACCAGTTAAAAAAATGGTTTTAGAAGCAGCCATTGCTACCGTGAGTGTAGAAATTTTCTGATGCGGAGGTTTTAACGATATGCTTGGCCACGGGCGTCCGCCCCATCCGGACGCCACGCACCTCACTCCGAACGCATTCTCTCCCTCAAAAAAATATCTCCCGCTCGTCCCACTCTGCCTTGTCGTCGCAACCATCCTGTGCGCGCGCCCCATCTTGCGCCCGACTGCCTCACTCAACCACCGCATGTGCCCCCATCCTACGCCCCGCCGCCCCACTCCGCCATCCCTGCGCAGGCCCCATCTTGCGTGGCGCAGCGCTGCACCGCCCTACTCCACCTCGCCATCGTGGATACGGCATGCACCGTGCCACTACCACTCCAGCACACGGGAGAAGGTCGTCACTGGCCGAGACATCGTCTCCCGCGGTCGACCGAAGACACCAGAGCAAAAGGACCCGTATCCTGCAAATGCATGTTCCAAGTGTTTCAGAGATATGTTAAAAGTGTTTTATATGGATGTTGCAAAAGTAGATCGGCATGTTGCAAGTGTTTCATATATATGTTGCAAGCTTCTATTCAAAATGTTTCATCTGTTTTGAATATATGTTGCAAGTATTTTATCTAGATGTTGCATATGTTTCAGTAACTATACACATGTTGTAAGCGTCTATTCAAAATGTTTAATCCGTTTCAGACTTTATGTTGCAAGTGTTTTATCTGGATGTTGCATATGTTGCGGTCGATATACACATATATTGCAAGCGCATATTATAAATATTTCACCTATTTGAGACGTATGTTGCAGAAGTGCTTCATGTTGCAACATTAGCAGGTACACGAACTTGGCGCATGCGGAGGCGGTCCCTGGATGCATGCGGGAAGCGAAGTGGGCATGGGTGGTCCCCACTTGCATGCGCAGCAGCAGGCACGGGCGCACAGCAGCATGCGTACGCGGAGCCGCATGTAGGGACGGGCGGGCAGGCGCAGCCGCTGCAGCTGCATGCGGGGCAGGCGAGGCAGGGGCAGCATGCCGATAGGCTCAGCAACAGGCGGGGCAGGCGTGGGCATCCGGACAGGGCTAGCCACGCTGTTTTTAAAGACGGTCTTTGAAAAATAAATTGTGGAGCCTTTAAAATTTAAATTAAATTTGTAGTAGTACGTGTTAAAACATTTAGGGTATCATGAAATTATTAAATAACTGCCCACATCAACCATATATATGCATATATGTATATGTGTGATGTGTCATCCCAAAATTGCAGATACATCCCGTGTTAACGTCAAGTAGAGTATGGCACATTTACATTGTAATAAAGCAAGCATATACCGTAGGCCTGGGGCCCTGGGCATGCATCCTCTAGAGAGAAATCTTTGTGATCTAGCACAGGAACGTGAATCACGGCCTGCATGGCCGCATACGACGACGGCAAGCATACCGTGACGATGAGAGCGCTGGATGGGGACGTATCTGCATCAAGACGACGGTGATTCTGCGACGATGACCATCCATCGAACATCGTCCACTCAATGCGTCATATATGTTCACTTTGCTCATGCACATCTGAACGCATATACACTTTATCATTGAACTAGCAACTAATTCTCAATAGGCCATCTCTGGACTATTTAATAAAAAACAAAATAACACAATACTCTCTCCCTCCCATAATAATGTTTTTAGCTCTAGGCACAGGGATTAAGAAAAAAAAATGAAAAGTATGATGGATAAAAAACGAGAAAAAGATATTAAGATAGAGATGCATCGGGAAAAAAGAGAAACTATTAGGAGTAAAAATAATAGTAAATAATGTAGGACAACTCTAGAAGGCTAGGATGACTTCCACGACGGAAGGAGTAGATCGTAGCAACCTGTAATCTCATATGGACAAATTATATCGCTTTGTCCTTTCATCAGTCACTATAAAAATGGTGGAGTTCTCCTAATGTACAACTAAGTAATAACAACATTACCATCAGTCCTAGCACGTGGAAATACTCCCTAAGAGGCATTTGATCGGAAAAAGCTTATACTAAGTATTGAATGTTAAATACTAGGAGGACCCACGTCACTAGAAGAAGCTACATATTCTTGTTGTGAGTAGAACAATTAATTAGTATTGGTGCGGCCGTTCGTTTCATGAAAAACAAGTGTGAGGACCATCCGCACGCAGGCATCATGGGAACGTATAGCTGCACAGTTGGCAGGACATCCTGGTAGGGTCGGTCCGCACCGAGTTTTTCTCCTTTCATTCGGTTTTCCCATGCTATAAGCATCAGCCATCGAACTCAGCATGTTCGCTATGTCGTAAACGATCGTGGATTATAAGTTAGAATAGTATTTTTCTCTCACACTAAATCAACTAGCAGTAATAATTTACGATCGTTTTAGCTGAAACGAATAGGCTGCAAGTCACACCAAGTTTTAAAATAGTCGCTTTTTTTACAGGCCTGTGGTCAACATCAGAGAACAGATGGCACGAGCACATGGCGCTGAACGTCGTTGAGCTGCACTGGTCCAACAATCGTAGCATCAAGTCTTTTAATGAATTTTGTCATGTGTGCTCACTGCTGTGAGTATTTTTGGTATGGAAATGTCTAGTCAACAACAGGCTGTTTTAGCCCCTCTTATCAACCAAAATTTTCTCATATACTTACAATGTCTTATAGCTATATTTACACTGTCTTATTACTATATTTATAATGATTTCTTCAGTGTAATTTATTAAAAAAAGTGATGTAATTTAAGAATAACACAAATATATGCCAATTTTTTCAAAAAGATTTACAAATTATTTCTATGAATTCCCTACATCAGATAAATATATATCAAATTATTCACAGATTCTTCAGAAATTAAAAAAAAATCCGCACAAGGAGGTGAGAGAGAGAGATTGTCGCAGGGTGTTCCATGCTCGCGTTCGTGTGCTAGGCAGGAACACAGGCACCGACATGATTGCTTGATTGACGCTGAAGCCGAGCGGACGCACGCACAGAGGTCATGTTCGGCTTACCCCATATTCAGCTTGTTCGACTTCTTTTTTCAGCCGGAACAGTGTTTTTCTCTCACAATAATTCAGCCAAAACAGTGTTTTTCAGCCAGTTTCAGCCAAGTTTCAGATCAGCGAATGGGGCCTCTATGCGTGCGTCCGCTCGGCTTCAGCGTCAAGCATGATAGCAGGCGGGGGAGGCCAACGCTTCCGCATCGTACGGCCCAAAAAATGGTTGATAAGAACCGGTAAATCAACCGATTCATCGTTAGCCTTTGTGTTTGGTATTTTCCCATGTCCCTTTCAAGCCATAAAATTTGCCAACTACTTAGCACTACTCCATATCATAAACACGACCTTGTATTATACGAGTCGTCGGTGCCGACGGGGTAACCAATTAAGCCGAGGAGCTACGCCGCCGCGCGCCATGTCACAGGCTGCAGACGGCAGCGCCGATGGCACTGAGGCGCCGCTGCTTCCCTCGTCGGCGGCGGGGACGCCGCCACCGCCGACAGCAGGTGCACCGCGCCGGAACTAGTTCGCCTTCGTCTGCGCCACGCTCGCCTCCGTCACCACCATGCTACATGGCTACAGTACGTGATGCGTGTGTGATCGTCGCATTCTGCTTCTCCGATCCATCCATGGAGATGTCATGATAAAATATACTCCATGCAGACCTGACGCTGATGAGCGGCGCGGAGCTGTTCATGCGGGAGGACGTGGGGCTCACCGACGCCGAGGTCGAGGTGCTGTCGGGGTCCATGAACGTCTTCATGCTCGCGTCCATCCTCGCCGCCGGCTCGGTGGCCGACCACCTGGGCCGCCGCTGCACCCTCGTGCTCGCCAACGCACGCCTTTCCTCATGGCCGGCGCGCCAAATTTGATGGTGGCGGCTCCGGCGGGCCCCAGATCTAGCGGTGGCGGCTTCATTCTCCCTCCATGTGAGCCCGCCAGAGCCGTTGGAGCAGCGGCGGGCGTCGGCGGCTTTAGCGGCCCCATATCCAGCGGCGGAGGTTCCCTTCTTCCTTCTCCATCCACGCGAGCCCACCAGATCCAGTGGGGCAGCGGCGGGCATCGATGGCTCACCCTCCCACGTGGAACCGGCCACCAACGGCCGTGGGGGTGGATCCGTCCTCCAGTAACACGGATCGGCCACCAGTGGCGGCGGGAGCATGGATCCGGCCACCACCAATGCGGATCTGGCCACCAGCGGCTGCAGCGGCGTTCCCTGAAGCAGGCTCGGCGTTGGGCCAGGAAGTGGGCTCGGTGTCAGGCCTGGTATTTTTGTATTTTAAATCGATTTTCGCATACGGGCGCAAGCTACCGCCTGCCAAAAGAATGATCAACTACGTGTTTTGTTGGAGGCGGACGTGATGACCAAAATCGACCGCCTACAAAAAGAGCATTGTAGTAGTGCTCGGGACTAGAATTAAGTTTTCTACATATTCAAAAGCAAAATAACACAGTTACTATTTAATAAAAAAACAAAATAACACAAAACTCCCTCCATCCCATAATAACCTTTTTAGCTCTAGACACAGGGATTAAGAAAAATGGAAAAGTATGGTGCATAAAAATGAGAAAACGATATTAAGGCCCTGTTTGGCATGGCTCCAACTCTGGGTGGAGCTGCTCCACTCCAGAACTCCAGGTGGAGCCAGTTCTAGATGGAGTCGGAGCTCTAGATGGAGCCAGCTCTAGGTGGAGTCGGAGCTGCAAAAGAGGTGCTCCAAAACTCCACCTCCATTTGCACTACAGCTCCATGGAGTTGGCAGCTCCATGGAGTTTTGGAGTTGGGGTGTTTGGCTGGAAAATTGGCTGGAGTTGCTGGAGTTCAGCTCCAGAGCCATGCCAAACACCCCCTAAGATAGAGATGTATCGGGAAAGAAAAAAAAATTATTAGGAGTAAAAATAATAGTAAATAATTTAGGAGAACTCTAGAAGCCTAGAGTGACTTCCACGATCGAAGGAGTAGATTGTAGCAACATGTAGTCAGGTATGGACAAATTAAATTGCTTTGTCCTTTAATCACGTCACTATCAAAATAGTGGAGTTCTTCTAGTATACTAAGTAGTAATAAGAACACTACCACCAGTCCTAACAAATGAGAATCCTCCCTAGCAGGCATTTGGTCGAAGAACTCATACTAAATGTTGAATGTTAAATACTAGAAGAATCTCACGTCACTGGAAGAATCAGCAGATTCTAGTTGTGAGTGGTACAATTAATTAGTATTCACTACCGGACTCCTGGCCTTTGCTGAGAGCCCGAAGCTCTCGGCAAAGACGAGTTGACGCTCGGCAAACTATTTGCCGAGAGCAGCTCTCGGCAAAGAGCCGTCGGCAAAACATCTACCGGCAAAGGATTCTTTACCGAGAGCCCCTCTGGGCAAAATATTTACCGAGAGTAATGTCAAGGCTCTCGGAAAACTGTCGCTCTCGGCAAACTGGCGCGCCCTAGTAACGGCCAAACGACCGCTAATGGTGTGACAGCTTCTTTGCCGAGAGCGACCGTCGGCGAAGAACTTCTTTAGCGAGAGCGACCATCGGCAAAGAATTGTTAAAAAAAAGATTTGCGGCCGAGGTGGTTTAAAAAAAAGGTTTGCCGAGAGCCGACCACCAAGCTCTCGGCAAAGAGGCAGATTTGCCGAGAGCCCTACTCCCGGCAAAGAGTCCAGAGAGCATTTTTTTATTTTTGTTTATATTTCCAGCTTCAACAACACATATTTCACAAATATAACACATCATCCACATCACATATATCACAAATATGTCATCCACATCACATGTCTCACATTATAATCCATCTAAACATCTCAAATCCAACAACACATGTACATCTCAAAGTGCTAAGTTCATCTCACACAAGTTCATGTCACAAAGTGCTAATACATGATGAAGAACAACAGGCTCACCCCCAAGGCTCCCACCCTCCCGACGGCGGCTGCTGCTGCGGCGGAAGGTGTGGATACGGCTGGTACCCCGACCCTCTCGACGGCTGCTGATGCGGCGGAAGTTGTGGATACGGTTGGTGCCACGACCATCCTAACGGCGGCTGCTCAGGCACATCATTCGAACCCACCGATTGATTCTGCACAAAGGAGAAGAAAAATTAGTAATTATAGTAATACTAAGGCATATAATTGTAATCTAAGCGTAGACAAGTCAAAATTTGCAGAACTAGGTATAAAATTGTAATCTAAGCCTAGACACATCAAAATTTTGGCAGCACCTCCCCTGCACGGTGGGGTTTCCAAAACCTGCAAGAAAACCAACGGCACGATGGCTGCCCACCACATATCAATGGCACGATGGCGCGCACATATATATATCAACGGCACGAAGGCCTCCCATCACATATCAACGGCACGATGGCCAACATGCACAGTAAAGAGCTTTTGTTAGAGAAATTGAACTCACGTATGAGTAAGGTGGGTATGGGTAAGGTGGTGGAGGAGTGAACAGCTCTAGTGGCGCTAGACGACCCATCGTGACGCCAAGACTTGCCACGTACTGAGCCAAGGCGTCAAACCTCACCCGCTCGGCCTCCCACCTCTGTCGCTCGGCCTCCCGCTCCCTCTGTCGCTCTTCCTCCACCCTAGCCTTATGCTCCTCGAGCGCATGCACCTAGGGCCTATAATTTTTCACCGCATTGTTACAAGCAATTTCGAGGAATGTAAAACCAATGAACGACGAATAAAACAGAAATAACCTATAGTGCTGCCACACGATGTGTCGAAGTGTCCTGCCTTGGGCGTATGGGCACGCTACCACTCGTGCTGCTTGTCCGGACCTGTGAGAGAGTGGGAGTGGTGTGCGGGTCGAGCGTGCTGTTGCCGATGAGGTACCGCCCATGCTTCTTGCCTCCTCCCACCCTCATGACGATGTCGCCGTTAATGTTCATGGTGTGCGGATCCCAGTCTGCCCCATGGACTCCCCTTGCCGCCTCAGTGTACTAACTGATGCGCTCGGGGATGCTCTCGTTGGTGAACGACTCGGCTGGGTCGTCCGGGTTCCAGTTGATGTTATCTGTCGCCTTGCCCTTGTGGGCCAGAACCCAAGACTTGAGCTCTCCGCATGGCTGGTTTTGATGTGCAGCCGACTGCGAGAAAAACAACAAGACGATTATAAATCATGCAGGAATAAACGTCTGAAAGAATAAATGAAGCTACACCAAGTCACGTACCCATCTAGCCCCGAATTCATGGATGTTAAGGTTGCCCTGGTGGTGTGATACACCTGGCATCAGCAAACGCCATTCCCGGAGGACGGTGTGGTTATCCGCCCAATTGCCACTCACCCACCTGTCGACCATCATCTGTTAGGCCCGCGTTTTATTAGCGCACCAGCCAGGAGGCACCTGTACAACATCAAGTACATTGACAGATATAAGAACAATTCAAGCCTACCCAATCTCAGAAGAAATCAATATTGATGTTGTATATTTACCTTCAGGTACTGCTCTTTAGTCAGATGCATTAATCTTGCATCTTCTTTCTTTACCTTCCGATGCTCGTAGACGGCACAGTAATCGATGATGGCCTGGAGCCGCGCCTCGTAATGCATGTCTGAGATGCGACCTCTAAAAGATCTGGCCGACGCCTTGGCCGCCCTCGCCTCGTAGCCCTCGACGCATTTGAAGAAGTCCTGCATATAGAAAAGATGTATCAATACACTAGTTCAAGAAACTCTGGCGAATGCAATGTATTGAGCAAAGTAGTGGGAGGAAGACTTACCCAAAACTCTCACATAACCCGCTCCGCCACACTTTTGTACGTGCGGCCCGTCTCGTCCTCCGCATCAGGGGCGGCAATGTAGTGCTCGTACGTGTAGGCCGGCTCCAGAACTTCGGCGTAGCGAACCAAGCCTGGGAAGTGTTCCCTGCAGAGAAGACCCAGGATGCCATTGGGCAACCTTTTGTGAGCACCTAGGACCATGACCTTCCAAGACCTGCGTAAGTGATTAAGAAAAAACTGTTAGTTTCCATTGTGATTCTATCATATGTAGGAGCGAAAAAAATGTAAAAGTTACGTACTTTTGCCCAATGGGTCGAATGATCGGGCGTAGAGCCTCAGGTATCGGCCGCTCAGGTAGGCTCGCCGGACCTCGTTGGTAGACACCCGAGGTTCCGGTGGAACTGGAACCTCCTGCCTCGGCCTCCTGCTCGTCCTCTCGCTCCTCCTGCTCGTCCAGCTGCTCGGCCTCCTGCTCGGCTGCAGCTCCCTCCTCTCCTCGCTAAGCTTGCTCGTCCACCGCTCTTCCTCCCTCCTCCTCGGGCTCTGGTGCTCTGCTGCTTGCTGCAGGCCGAGGCGGTGGCACCCTAGGCCTCTTCCCGGCCGCCCTCCTCCTCCTCCCCCGAGGTGGTGCCGACCCCTAGCTTCACCTGAGGGCCCACGTGTCTTGCCCCCCCCAGTGTCGTAAAGCGACTGACCGCCCATAAAGCTCATGGCCCGCCATCTTTGCACAATCACCTACAAGACATAAACAATAAGATCGGATTAGATGGATCATAAACAAGACATTATTATAAAGAGATGCAAAATAAATAAAGCATAATTAAAAAATAACATAATATTACATGTATTAGAAATAATCATCCCCATCGGGATTAGCTGGATCATAGCTCTCATCATCACTATCTGCCATGTCGAAATGTTCAACACTTTCCAAAGGAGCAACTATGTCATCATTGCCATTGCCAATATGTAATCCTTCAAGTAACGCCAAGTCCTTCCCATTTTCCACCTCATCCCCCTCATCCACATCAACATCCATTTCATTGTCTACTTCCATTTCCATAGCTCCGGTTAAGTCAATCTCAAAAGTCCCTTGTAGGCCCTCTTTTTGATAGAACTCTCCATCATATGTGTTTGGGTCGAAGTTGT